TGCTAATGACATTTTTCTAGTACAGCTGTTATTCAGCACCAGACGCACCAGACTGTTATAACTCGACGGCAAAACATAAGGAAAACGCTTCAAAGAATTTTAAACGCCATACTTCTCTTGCCTCATTGAAATAAGTTCAAAAGTAAAACCTTTGGCGCTAAATTTTTTTCTCTGGTGTCATATATTATGATTCGATTGGGGTCCCTGTGCATTCAAAATGTCGCCACAACAACACGAGTTGAACTGAGTTAAACTGTAAACGAAAGTTTACATTGTTCTTCCCACAGACATTCAAAGTAAAACATGGGACAGTTAAACATGGGATCGCAAAGCCTCAGGTAACACAATCGTTAAGTTTGTCGTTTCAGTCTGTCGTTTCGCATTTTACAGATCTGTAAAATGCGAAATCCTCGTTTCGCATTTTATTGTGTCGTTTCGTTTCGTTTCGTTTCGTTTCGTTTCGTTTCGTTTCGTGGTTTATGGTAAGCCAACAAAGTGTAAGTATTTAAATTTATTCAGTTTGAATGTCAAAAAGTTAACGGTCGATAAAATTTGGATAAAATTTGGATGTGTTCTTTTGATCGAAAAATGTTTTATACTAAAAATTATTTCGTATCTACAGAAATTCAAGAGAGATTTCTTTTTATACCTGACAATGTCGTCACTGTTGAGAGCATATTCCATGAATTTGTTGAAGAATGCAAACTTGAGCAACAACTGTTTATAAACCGAGCGACTTCCGGTTGCTTGCTTCAGAAAACAGTTCCTGGTTGTGAAAGAAAGAATATGAAGGATTTCTGGTAAGCTTCAGTATCCTCTACTTTTTCTTTACTACAACTTTAAAAAATCAGCTGGTATGAAGTTTAAAAACGGACTTAAGCGGGGCTTACATTAAACCACGATTCGATTGGGGTCCCTGTGCATTCAAAATGGCGCCACAACAACAGGAGTTGAAGTATTTCAATATAGTTTATAAATTTATGGCTTTTGGTACATGGAAAGTTTGCACTGTTCTTCCCACTGAGATTCAAAGTAATCTCTAATTTTCTAAGACATGGAGCTACAAAGTTTTCATCCAATTTCGTGAGTAAGCTTACAGTTAAACATGGGATCGCAAAGCCTCAGGTTACAGTCTGTCGTTTCACATTTTACACATCTGTAAAATGCGAAATGACGGTTTCTCATTTTAAAGATCCGTAAAATGAGAAATCCTCGTTTCGCATTTATAGTGTCGTTTCGTTTCGTTTCGTTTCGTTTTCGTTTTCGTTTTCGTTTAATGTAAGCCCTTAAGCAGTTAGTTAAAAAAGTTTCGAATACCGGTACATTCCTTAACAATATCAATACCTGTTTATTGTGTAAACATTGGCTTTACTCGGACGCAGATAAAGAAAATTTAAGTAATATATACAGTATGAGTGGCCGTGTTGTATCAGATCTAGATATACAACCACGAGGCGTAGCCGAGTGATTGTATATATGATACAATACGGACACTCATACTGTATATGACTTATCAAACGTCTAGGTTAGTTCCTTTGTGTTTCACTAAAATTTTCAAAATTAAAGCGAATTTGGCCAAGAAAATCCAACTTAACGTTTATGCAAATGAACACAGTTTTGTATCAGTTTTACAACACTCTTCACGGTTGTGGTTTCTGTTGTGTTTCCCTCATGAATTATTAATGAGTTTGATAACTTCAGATATTGGTTTCTGTGTATCACATTCTAGTTAATGAGATCTGAATAATGATATAAATTGCCAGAAATACATGAATGCACCTACATGCACGTCATGGTCAACAGAAAGTCTTTATATGTGAAAAATTCCTTGAAATGTCATTGTATCAAAAACCTTTTCCATGGACGTCAAATATGTTCAGCTCAACATTTTGGTTTCCATGGAGAGTGCTACGAGCATCATGAGAAGACACACCTCCCAAATCTTCTTTTTCATTGGTTTAGAGGTGCAAAACCTCCAAGGGTTGCACTCCCCGCCACTTCTCGCCTCTTCGGGGCTCGCTCGTAAATTCATCAACTCGCCCCTTCGAGGCTCGCCTGCGCCTACGTAATAAATGGTCAGCGCAAAGACAAAGCAAAGAGCAAAATGGCGGGAAAAAACAAGATGGCGGACGACAATTAATCAAAATTCTGCCGTGCTCCCTTGGATATATGCGTGTGTATTTGTAAAAATGTTGAAAACTAATGACAATTTTAACTATGAATTTTTTCTTTTCCGCACTAAATCCAAAGAATATGATATCTAGCTTCGAATGAAAAGAAAAAAATGGGGGTCACCGTACTAATAGACGAGCTATGAGCGACTAAATCCAAGTTTTTGGTCAAAAAAACACAAACCCTGTCCGCGCGAGACTGGGTTCTAGTACATTTACCTCCGTCTGAAACATGTCAAATCGTCTTTGTAATCTCCAGAGAATCTAAGACGAATTTCGAATTGATTTTGAGAATAACATGTCAAATTCATTTTTTGTTGCTCCATTTTATAAAGTTATGAATTTGTTATTTTGAATCAAAAGAGTGATCAACTCAGGCAATGGAAATCTAAAATTTTTGTCTCAAAAGTTGCATGAATTAGCGAAATGCTTTGTTAAGTTATAGAAAAGGATTCAACTTCTGACATTATTTTAATCAATTTTCAAAACAGCGCAAATAAAGGGTAAAACAAGAGATGCGCGAAATGGATGCGCAGTAGCAAGGGTCCGGAACTACCTTAACATGCTCGTACCACTTGATATTTCAAAATATTAGGTCGACTTAAATTGGCTTTGAGCCATATTTTTGGACTATTGTGTTATGTTAATTAACATGCTCATAAATTCAAATCTACTCGATGAATTTTTTAAAAATCTAGTCAACATTGACTGCAATATATGGGCAACGAGATGTCAAAATTTCATTTTCATTGAATCATTAAAGCTTTCAAACTTTAATCCGCATCGAGAACTGTACGGGACGGCGATTCTCTTTTGCCTATGTTTATTTTATTTCTCATCGCTATTGTCCCCTTTTATCACATTCGCGTAAATTTCAGTGTTCTGTATGAGCTGGTCAATCATGGTCAATGCTTTAAAATTGCTTTCCGAAAACGTTTTCGAATTATGTAAACAAGACGCTCTAAGAGCGTATACTGGGTTGCCTTGTTATGACGTCATTCCAGTGTTTTGATAAGCAAAATCTCATAAAAATTAACGTCTGTAATCTCCGCGTATGTATAAACGAAGTCGGCCACCCCCTTTTTTATTTCATATTTTGAAAATACTTCGTAATACCTAACTTTAGAGAAAAATTTTTTAAAATCTGACTATGGAATCAAATCAAAACAAGACAATATTGACTCAGCACTTAGTGAGTGTATTTCACTCAGAAAAAGTTTATTTATACTTGCCGAAATAAGACAAACTTTTCTACAAATTCCTTTACTTATATAACATTCTGGACGTCAAAGCTCCGAGTTTAGATTCTGGTTTGACCGAGTTTGATATCAATCAAGCCGTGGAAGACCGTGGAACGCAAATAAACAGTGTTGCGTTATGCATGTCACATTAGTTAATTTACCTAGCTTGCCTCCTCCCGACAACGTGAAATTGCCCGAACTTGTCCGCGGTAAATGATTCCGATAGAAGAAGTTATGTCAGTATTTCACTCATAAAACACTCATTTGCTCACTCAAATAAACCAACTTTTTCTACGAATTTCCTTAGAAATATCATTCAGCTTGTCTTTATTCGGGTTTGTATATCACTGGTTGTTTTTTAGACGGCAAATCTTTGAGTTGTTGACCGAGACGGCCTTTATGGTCTAATATCGCAAGTAAGCTTGGCACGTTCCACCAACGTCTGGTGGCCCCACACCTCTGGTGGCCCCGCCTGTCCCAGGTCTCCGCGGCAATACAACCTGTGATTACGAAACTTGGCAAGGATGTAGTCACGTGCCCTGTCAGTCACCCCAACGATTTTGGGTGTATGACGTCACATATCACGTGACTTGCTAAGATAACATTATCGCCAGTTTTTGAAATAAACCTTTGTTTGACGTTATTGCACTACCAAATTCTCTGTATGCCAACGCTGATGGTAACCAACCCCCCTGGCAGTGTGACGTCACAGGTCACGTGACCTATAAGTAGCGTTTTATGGCTAAACCATGACGATAAACCGTCCATAACACCACTTACAAAGACACGAGACAGAAATTGAACATTTCCTATGCCGTATTCTTACGCACCTGTGGTGACCCCATCGTGCCAAACGTCTGGTGGCCTCTGTCCCAGTTTCTCCGCGGCAATACAACCTGTGATTACAAAACTTAGCAGGGATGTACTCACGTGCCCTGTCAGTCACCCAACAATTTTGGGTGTATGACGTCACATATCTCGTGACTTGCTAAGATAGCATTATCGCCAGTCTTTGAAATAAACCTTTTTTCGACGTTATTCATACTTTTATTGTAATCATTCTGCTATACACTGAACACGTGTGATATGATTCTTCAATTTGCAGAGTTTGGAAGGTTGTTTTGAATCCGTGCAAAGTGGGCAATGAAACAGCTTTCCCTTACACTGACATTCTTTCCCTTTATCACAACGACGAAAAGATAAAGCTACATCGCTAACGCTTGTTCGTATTGATCAATGGAGATGTTAAAAATAGGAAGGAAACGTATCACAGTTTGTCTACAAAAACGGCTGTAATTTTCTCCTCAATATACAACTGAAATAACACTGATCAAATGTTACTCACAAGGTCGTCATGATCAAGCCTTCACCATCCTTTAACGTTTTGAAGCCATTAAGTCCAAATGTTCAACAAAATGACCGACTTGCTTCCAAGAGAAAGAACCCGTTTGGATGTTCACCTCGAAAAAAGTAGACGAACTGTGATCAGAAAGAACAAGAGAACCAGCTTTTTAGGGCCTTAGATGGTTGAAGAGAGGAGCCTCAAGAGAAGGAAAATAAGTATTTTGATATTTCAGATGTTGAACTTCGAAACAACGAGGATGCTTTTGAACCTAAAGAAGAGAAAACAACAGACAGAGAAGTAGAAAAAGACGAAGGAAAAACCTCAAAACAAGGCAAAAAAGGTTTCCTATTGACTGGAGTTTAAAAACTAAAGTTAGGTTTACTTCTTCGACGTCTTTTAGTTGGTCAAATTCGCTRAAAAGTTTTGAACTAGCGGAAGGAATATCTCTGGTTTTGTACGTTGTGAGTCAGAAAACATCCTTGAAGAAAATGTAAAAAGTACCGAAGATTCAAGTGCAGATTTTTATCGTACTCTGCTTCACAAAGACTGTAAGAGCTGGATACATCCTTTCTTGCCTTGGCTTCAATCATATCCAAGAAATAACCCGAAAAAATTCCAAGAAAAAGGGAATTTTTCTAATATTTTTCTTGACCCTGAGCTCTCAGGTTCCCTTCACCAAGACTGGGTTTCCAGCTTTCATTCCGTCTTTAATCTTCTCCGCTGTGGT